CCTTTATGTCATTGTAGTCCCAGCTGAATAAAATAGAAGATATTGAAACTCTATCTCCATTGTCAAAATTTGCAAAAGACACCTAGGGGTTTAGGAAAATATTTTTCTTGATTTTGACTGTTACCTAGTAGTTGCTTGTATCAGAATATCAACAGTGAATAATCTTTATTTTCTAGGATATTTGACAAAACGATGGCTCTTAAAAACCAGAAACATGCATTCTGTAATTATTTAAAATATTTCCAGGCACAAAATAGTCTGTAATTATTACCTAAACTGACTTCCTCTCTGTGGGCTGAGTTGAAGAATTTGAGGAATCACTGAAAGAGCTGCATCCATTTCTGTTTCAGATGCACAAACAGCAAAGCTAGAGGGTGCGTCTGTTTTTGTGTGTATATATGTAGTTAAAGAACTACACTATCAAAACATTAATTATATTTGAAAGAGAGCAGAGAGCTTGTTGTGGAGAGAATTGCATTATTGAATTTATATTCCATGAAATCTGTCTGAGAGGGATGAAATTGCATACCTGTCTTATGTGACGCAACCTTTTCAGAGAGGTGCCTAGCAAAAGGAAAGAGATGAAGGAGGCAGACTTGGAGGGGAGTGATCTTAGATGCCAGGCTAGTTCTGAGCACAGGGAATCCATGCAAAAATGCAAATAACACGAAAAGCTTGCACAGGATCTTTGTTCACTCTCAACAAAAACAAATGGATTTTCCCCCTCTACCAGGCAAATCAGTGTGTTCTTCATTGAATTTGTGGGAGGAGGAGTGGTTGAGAGACTAAAAAACATTGTTATATTTTTTATCCCAAATCTTATTTATTTCATAGCTGCCAAATTTTATATCCACAATTTAGATTCTCTTCCTCCCAAATCTTCCATCGGTATGAATCATCCCTGATCATTTATAGTATTGGGCTTAATTACTAGTTTTCAGCTTTAAATTACTAATAAACTAATTAAACTGACTAATCTCTCTAAACTTCTGTTGAATAGTATAATAGCTGCAACAACAAAAATAATATAACAAAACCTGCATCAATAATGACAAAATTAAACTGTTATAATAATAATAATGATAATGCAAGTAATGAGATGGTGAACAATCTTAAAATATTTCTCTGACCAACAGGATGAAGATGGAATTTACTTCTGTCTGAAATTTGTGTCATGGAGGCAGTCAAGCATTTCTCTGATTTCTTGTTTGGCTGGTTAAATGGATGATCCAGTCCAGCTCAACTCAAGTTTCCACATACAAACTTCATTGGCCTGATATGGTAGGTCTTCTTATTGGCATTGAGTACTTTTAAACCCACACCCTTGGCTATGGACATGTCCTTTGAAGATGTTATTTCCAAACAAATGAACATGGGAAGGGAACTGGAACAAAAGCAACATGCTTAAGGATTGATTTGTGGAGGGATTGGGTACCTTTTGGCTGGAGCTCTTTTGGTGAGCAGAGCAGTTATCATGACTAGGAAAAGTGTCCACAAGGCTGTGGAGGATGAAGGGGACAGAGGTACTGAGGTTGCAATGAGTTCAGAGAGATCCCTGATCTTGAGAAACCTGGACCACAGGACAAGACACACAAATTAGGAAGGAGGGGCCCCAGGATAACTCTTGAATCCTTTAGGGACAGGGGGATGTTAGCAAAATAATGCCTCGGAGAGAGTAGAAATAGGTGGAGAATGGAAGGAAAATGTCAGTAACTGGTAGTGGTATAGCAAGCAAAGCACAGCTCACCAAGACATTAAGAGATGCTTTTGTGAATTGTGAGCCTGCCAAGGATTATTGTTCTTGGTGAAAGAACAGCCACCAGCTCCTGGGGCTGGGCTGGAAGAATCTGTCAGAGCCTCTATCTACCTCCAGTAACCCACCATCTCCTCATCTCAGCATTCTTCCCGTCTTCTGAAACCCCCACTACCTCTCCTCGCCCCAACGGAAATGTAATGAAATTAAAAGGAGAGGTGGGAGGAAATTAAACCCAAAATTTATCAGACAGATGTAAGAGCTGATGCAGGTTGTTTGAGAATTGCCATCCTTTCAGAGGCAGAAAAGAAAGCTGGTTAGGAAACAAAGTGCAGTTTGGGACAGCTCAGAGACTTGGTACCCAGTTGTGTGGGCCAAATGGAGAAGGATCTTAGCAAGAGAAGAAAAGAATAGATAGTTCTGGATCAGGGAAGCATCACCACTGAAGAGACGTGCTTTCTTTTTTTTTTTTTTTTTTTCTTGTAAATCGGTGAAATTCTGAAAATGTATGAAAAAGCACAATCTGCACACCTTAAAACTTATGAAAAGAAAAGCATATGTCAATGGTCAGTTTGTCCTTTAGAACAGTGCTGATTTTTGTAAATCATTGTCTTCTAACTCAGGAGCACACATGGTCCATGCCATAAAACCACACAGCAGCCGAAAGAAGGACGGGAGGGAGGAAAGGGATGCAAGTTGCCTGCTTTGCTGCCGCTGCATCTCTTCACCTCTCAAGCCAGGGATGCCACGCAATCCTTTTTATCCTTTTCTATTGGTTTTTTGAAAGTATGAAAAATTCCAGTTCATGAAAATACTATTTTACTAAGCATTATAAGCCTTCGTCTTTGAGAATAAATTCACTGAAGTGATGTTCAGTTTTACCTTTCCTTTCTCTGTCCGCAGACCTCAAGCTTTTCTTGGGGGCAGAGTTAAGAATGCTTACCAAACTCACTCCAACCCCTCCAAAACATAGTTTGGAAATTAAACTGGGGCTTTCCATATGCGACTTAATTTAATTTCAATGGTATTTTAAGAAGATATTCACAGTTGCTATGTTTCTATGTATGAATTGTTCTTTTGATTAAGAAGCAAACTATCATTTTCAGTAGGAAAATTAAAAGAAATCACCATTTCCAGTAAAGGTGACCTTCCATCACTTACATGCACTCTGGAGTATGGCCTATGAAAATATATTTTCTAATAATTTGATTTTAATTGTATATGAGTGAAACTTCTGAATCGGTAAAGAGCTATGTGACTAAAGAAACTAAGTTTTATGTGTTAGTGATGCCGATATTTGGTGGACAGTAAAACAACAATGAAAGCAGTTATTTCACAAAGTAATGACAGCTAAGCAAACACTCATGTGTGTGCAGATTTTCCCCATTTAACAAAATTAATAGGTTTCTAGAGCCCACTCTCTTAATAAGTCCTTAGCCAATGTAAGCAAGATATACGCATACATAGTATATATGAGGTGCTGCATATGGTTCAAATATTATGCTTATTTTCATAGAAAAAGGTAAACAAATAGAGTATTAGCATTTTATCTTTTTAATCTTAAGGGAAGATTTATTTATAGTCGGCATAGAAGGAAGCCAGAACCACTATATTCTGTTTAGATTGCATTTATGAAGCAAATATAGATTTTCTTTCAGTATTAGATATGCAAGAGAAAGGAACTCAGAGTTGAATGAAATTAAGATCTATGCACATTTTCGCTAAGCCAAGATGAAGTAACTTCATTTCTTAAACATCCTCATTCTCCTATAAAAAGCAAGAGAGGTAAATCCAAGTCAAGATATGACACTTGGACTGCTTACAAATAATGGTCACTGACATTTTTTTCAACAAAGAATTTTTCATTGCAGATAGAAACAGAACCTATATACAAGTGCAAAGTAAAACATTTTAGTAACGGGTGCTGGGAAGATAATGTATTGACACTGTGGATATTTGTGAAGAATAATATTCTTTTGAATAGAGTTGTGTGATTATCCTGTTTCTTAAAAACACACTTGCCACTAGGCTCTCATTTTCAACTCTAGCTTCACAAAGAGCAACCAGCTTGTATTAAAGCTGGTTCACTGCAGCAGTTCAGATTTAAAAGTAAAATAACTGACAGGAAAAGAAAGTTACACTCTTACCAAGGAGATTCTCATTGACAGGGAGAGATTTGGGGAAAAAGGAAAGTTCCAAAATAGGGTGGTGGGAGACGATAATAACTCTTTAGGTGAGTTTGGGAAGAGGGTAAGTAAAATACAGTTGAGAGATTGGGATTAATCGAGCGGTTTAAATACAAATCTGCCGGAAATCATGCTCTTTGGGAATGAAAATGAAGGAATTTATGCATATTCTAATTTTCCCTCTTTGGCTGCTATTTTGGAGGAAGAGACTTCTTTTGCTGATGGTAGGGGTTTTTGTTCTGCACAGGAAATGTGTAAATGAACACAAATGTTTTTTTTTTTTTTTTCCCCCCTTCTCTTTTCCATTTTTCTCCTCCATTCCCTCCTCCCCCTAGGAAGAATCCTAAATTGTTAGAGTGCTTAGTTCTGCAGCCTGGGCTCCCTGGGCTTCTTCCGGGATGCTAGAGGGGGCAGGTCTGAAGGACAGGGGGATGAGGGCTCCTCTGGGCTGTCACACTTTGCAAAATAATGTAGTTTCCACTCCATCCGCGGACACCCAAAGGGACAGAGATGAGAAAGAGTCCTAGTTCTAACATGGTGAAATACAATCTGGAAAGTCGTTTGCCCTTACGACAGAATTCTCAGTTGGCCTGGGCTGAGGACAGTTTAAAAGCGATCTTATAAACCCTGAGTGAAGATCCACTGACCCTTAGCGCACAGTCAAAACGCGTCCCCTCCCAAGCCTTTGGGAACCGATAGAAACAAGGAAGGGCGTGATTTTATTCTGTTAAGACCAGCAAGACTCTCTGGTTCTGTCATGAGACCCCTGATGCTGAGGCCCTTCGGTGTTTCCTGGAATATTGAGAACCCCCACCCAAGCCCACCCCCCGGATGCACTAGTGAAGTGCTTGGGCTGAGGAGGTGAGCAGAGGCGACTCTGTGGGGAGAGGAAGGGACAGCGAGGAAGACCCGCAGCGGCCGGGGAGGCGCTCCCTTTCTCAGCCGCCGCGTCCCTCCGCAGGACAGGCGCGGGGATGCAGGATTACACCGGAGCAGGGCGAGTTTCCGCCTTCCTTCTACACACTAGGTTAGAAAAACACAAAAACAACTTGGAGACAATCTCAGTGTTAACAATTTAATTCACAGAGCTGCACCGCGGGACAGCCCGTGTGGGGCTTTTGCAGGGAGAGGAGCTCGCGCTGCGGTGCGCAGTGCCGCCCGCCAAGCTCGGGGGCCAGGCGCGGGAGCAAAGCGCCCCGGTCCGCGGCCCGCGCGCACCCTGCCGCAGGGGAAGTGAGGCAGGGCCCAGGGCCGGGGTCCAAGGCCAGGGGATCCCCGGGGAACGCGCCTCCTGCCCACGCTCCGCTCTCTCCGGGTTGGGTCCGGGAGCCCGGCACTCACTCGCTGAAGCGCGCGCGCACCCTCCTGCTAACCTCGTGGCCCGCCGAGGAGCACCTTTTCAAAAAGCTGAAAAAGTTGTATTTTTTACTTTAAATTAAAAAAAATAGTACATTTTTGCAACACGCCATCATCATATTCATGGTGGGAAGTTGGTAACATGCACAGTGCACGTTTTAAATCTTACTTGCTTTTCTCCTCCATTCCCTCCATCTCTAGATTCTTCTCCCATTTGGAAAGGATCTAGCTCCCCGTTTCCCATTATGGAGTTTTGATTTTGCTCTTTAAATTGCTTCTACCTTGAGCTTCTTTCGTGTCGCACAAAAGGCTGCAGTGGGGTGTAGTTTCCGGGTGGGGGGGACCACCCGAGAAGCCTCCTGCATCCTGGGTTCTAAGTCACACCCTGCTCAGGGACAGGCCGCCCTGCCCACCGAGCCCGGCACTTCTGGTCCTCCTCTCCTGCGGGCATTGGCCCTATACTGTCCCCAGACATCACTCACACCCAGCCCTGTGGACGAGGGATGGCGTGGGAGCCTCTCCTGCATCTTCTAAGTGGCTGGTGGGTCTGTACCCCTTCTCTTCACTTCTCTTTAATTTGAGGCTGGGGGAGGAGGGACCAAGGTGGAGAGCAAAGGCTCAAGGAAAACAGGAAAAAAAAATTTTTTTTTTGGTCATCATTTTAGACGCTATCCTTTTCTGCACAAATTCGTTCCAGACACAGAGACACAGGCTTCTTTACCCCAGGGCGTAGGCCAGTCCCTGTCCTTCGCAAACACCCATAAATACTGACGAGACTGCATCATAGATGATGCTCACGTGTGCTTAGGGTTAGCGTATCCTCTAGTCAGCTGACTTTGCTGCACGTTTATGGAACTCAGTTGAGAGGTTGATAAATGCTTTTCTACAGGCACTTTGGTGCTATTTATTTAGAGACTTCCAAAATGGGTGAGAAAGGTCCCTAATAATTGTTGAAAATACCTTCTTGAACTTTTTGATACATGTGGGATAAAATACAGTGGATTTTAGGATTTGAAAGTTAACTTTTCTTTTACGTTTTGCTTTCTTTTAAAAGCGTTTTACTTTCTCTAGTAAGAGGTTAAGGCCTTAGGAAATGAAGTTAAACTATAACCAAATGGAATTTCTCTTTTGCTTTTCTCGAGCTATACTATAATGTAACCCTTGCCCACCTTGATATACTTCTGTGTTGCCTTCTGTGCCACACAACGGTTTTTATTCTTTACAATAATTTCTGTTTTTATATGCCATATGAACTTTTTGTAACCAGGAGATAAATTTTAAGGTGGTGAAATTTTAAGGCAGGTTTCAGTTGCTCAGTACATATGAAATGCATATCCACTGAGCCCACTGGGGTAGCTCAGGCAGGATTCTCTGCAGCATTTCATGCCCCAGTTTCATTGATTCGTGTAAAATAGTGAAATTATATAACCAATGAGCTAATAACCATGAAAGTAATTTGAAAGGTTATAATTGCTAATCAAATGTAGAAGCATATTTATTAGCATCATTATTAAAAGGTGCCAGAGGGATACAAATAAAACCTGTTCCTCTCCTCTGGGAACTTACAATCTAGTTGGGCATAAATAATGAAATGTAAATTGATAGAAGCAGCTCCTAAGCAATGCTCAGTGTCTGGCATATTAGTTCAGTAAATGATTGCCTCATACTAATTTGCAGCCATATCTCCTTTTAACAAAAACATATAATACTGGTCAGTAAAGGAAGGCTTAATTAGAAAAACTTTCATGGATGAAATGAATTTGTCCTTTACATGTCACATATGAAAACTGCAATGTGCACATGGTTTGTGTGTGAGGAGAAAGTGGAAGGTGGGAGAGATATTTGATGAGTAAGAGTATAGTGGCAAATTTTAGGAAACTCTACAGTCCATGTTTAGGCATTTATGTTTGATAGAAATGGTGATAGAGACCCGTGGCTGTCCTATGAGCACAGGATGGTGTGATTAAAATTAGAATTAGATTTTTTTCAGAAATGATTCTGGCTAGCTACCAAGTATAAGGAAAATTGAGGGAGAAAGAATAGGGGGAAAGATTTCAGTGCCATTCTGAATTCAGTGTTAGAGAAGGGCTGTAGTTAAAGCCATCATTAGGCCCCTTAACCCAATTTGTACACAACACAAGTTACATTGAAATGATGAAATCAGGAAAGAGCTATAATAGCATTGGATAGATATCTTCCTTTCTTATTCTTCATTACTGATAGTGATAGATGTTAGATATTGACAGGTGGTGACTAAACTTAGGATGTCTCTATCACCAGCCTAAGATATTTTTGCATTTAGTCTATCTACTCAGATTAACTTGCAGTGATTTTCAACTGGGGATAATTTTCCCCTCCTATCCCCCTCTTGTTTTGGGCAGCATATACAAACATTTCTAGCTGTAGAGATTATTAGGCTACTATTGGCATCCAGTAGGTGAAGTTGGGGATGCTACTGAGTACCTTATAATCCTTTTTTAATTTTTTTGGTACCAGACATCAAACTCATGATCTTGCACTTGCGGAGCAGGTGCTTATGCTGCTGAGCTAAATCCCTAGTCCTAGCACTTTATATTCACAGGATAGCTGCCCCAACTTCAAAATACCCTGTCCAGAATGTCAGTGGTGTTGAGGTTGAAATGTCTTCCCATCTTTAGCTGTGGAGTCTCAGGACCTAATTTCCATTATAGCAACAATTTAAATTGAAAAATTGTTTTGCTTAGTTTTTTCAAATATAACTCTGAAAATTGTTAGCCTGAGGCCTTAGAAACAGGAAAAATCAGGATGGTACCTACTTGGATTTTCTACTTTTTAAGAATAGAGTTAGAAATTATCCTTAAGGATTTTCCATCTAAATGTTATTTATTAAATTAATAAAATGTGCCTTTGGAGTTGCTTAGCAACTATGGAAAGCTTTCTAAAAGTTCATTTGTTTGTTGAAAACCAGGGTAGGTTGCATATTATTAGCTACATTACATAAATCAACAAAGAAATATACCCTGAAAGTGGAATAAGATGTTTCAACACATTTTCTGCTCCCGTGTCTAGCAATTAAAACATTCTAATTGTCTGGTAGAATTGAATCAAGTGTTCAACAAACATTTATGTATGAAACTTCAACATAATATTAAGTATGTAAGAGAACCAAAGGGGAAAAAATTAAGCAGGTTTGTCATAAAGTATATGTTTATCTTAACCTTTCTTCTTCAAAAATCTTATCTACTAAGTACTTTTATCAGACACTAATTATACTCCTTCTGAAAAGAATTTCTCCAACACCCTTCAGTGCCTGCACCCTTTAATCATATCTCATTACATCTACCTAATCCATATCTTTTTCACATTGTCAGGGCTCATTAACAATTTTAAAAGCCAATCTTGGACATTATCATACCTTGTAATCGAAATGAAAATATGCCAATAACATTTTATTTCTAAAATGTAATGGGCAATTTAACTTTTGTTCTAAAGCCATTTTTTCTTTAAATATTAATGACAAATTAACTTTCAAACATGCATTAAGCAAGCAGAACTGGTGAGATCTTTCTGAAACCCCTGAAGCACCTTCTCAAAGCAGTTATATTTAAAGCTGTTTTAACAGTGGATCATTAGTCACTTTGAAGGGAAGTGATCCTTGATTAAGAGTTGGCTGATACTGTGTTTCCGCAGATGTGTGGCAGCAATACAGGTGCTACCTACTAAACAGGACAGATCATTTCTAGGTTCTAAGCACGTTTTTCACACAGAAAAACGTAAAAGCTTGAATGGGTGCTCACCTTTGGGTTTTGCTTCATTTAATTGTTATTACCAAAAGAATCCAAATGTCCCAGTTACAGTTACCATATTTTTCATAGCTTTAGAGAAAAAAAAAAATGGTAAGTTTGGCTAGTGCTTTTTTTCTTTTAAATTTTTGTTGTTTTGAGACAACAAAATTCTTATCAAATTTTCAGTAACATATCCAGAATATAACTTTGGATAGCAATTTCTTAGATCTTGAAAGTCAAATCCTGTCTCTCAGAATACATAGAACGAAGAAAGTATTGTCTGAAATGGAAGAGTCTTCTGCTATCGTGACCAAGCTTATGATTACTGAAATCAATGGATTTCTTAAGAGTGAATCCTAGGAAAGGTTTAGTGGTTTATTATTAGGCACACACTATTAAGTTATACTGTTTGGAAAGAAAAACAAAACACTAACCAAGAGTCATCATCCCCAAGTGCAACCTTTGGATCCATAAGTATACAGAGCTGTAGTAGTAGAGACCTAATGAAGTTTTCCTTCCTCTTTAATTTTTATCCATATAATAGTTCTGCCAGATAGCAATTATCTCATATTATGAGAGTTTTCTTACATTTATCTTCAGTTTTTCTTCAGTATATTTTTTCTTTTAAAGTTATTTTTATTTTGTTTTCTCTCCATTAATGTGGTTCAATTTTATTATTTCTGATTATTGGAAACTGTCAGTAAGCAATATTAAGAAGCACTATGTGCTAATTGAAGTGTTTGGTTTGCTGTCTCTTATTTCCTACAGTTTCACAATTGCAAGGAATTGAATAGAGTAAGACAGTTAAAGATATGTAACCAATTTTTTTCTCCAAATCACTCCTTTGACATTCTGTCTTTTCAATTCTTTTAATTTCTTTAATCATCAGATTTGGCAAGTGGCAATCTTACATATGCTCAAGTATGCTCAACAAATTGTTCACACGTGTTCTTTTTCTTTCAGTGATACTAGTAACTGAACACAGGAAGCACTAAGCTACACATATCCTTTGCCCTTTTTATTTTATTTTGAGATAGGATCTTGCTAAATTACTCAGGCTGACTCCTACTTGTGATCCTCTTACATTGTTCTCCAGAGTACAGAGTACATGCTTGGCTCACTGGACTCATATGTGGCTGGTTTGGGTTTTTGCTTTTTTTTGTTTTCTTTTCCTTAAGTAGTGTGAATATTAAGGTCCTTCCAACATTTTACAGTAACATCAGATGTATTGTATATTTTAGTAGACTTTATTATCAGTTAAATTAATTTTATTAATAAAACTCAAAACTTGGTGAGCTTACCAACATAGCAAAATGCCACAATTTAATAATTATAAATATACTGTTAAAGTACTTTAAAATTGTTTTTGCTTTTTAACCTTATTTTTATTGTTTATGTGTCTTTTCTCTTTCTTACCAGGAAAAGTCACCTTTCTCTACTGATCAGCTATTTTCTTCTCTTTGTGTTACTGATTTCAAAGGTTTACTCACTGATCAGTGCAATGGAGCCTGGCATGGACATCCATTGCATTAAAGGATATCTACGCATGGGCCTGCTGATGACAAACAGAAGTTTCCCAGCAAGATGAAATCTGGGAAGAACAGTGCTCCCCCAATACTCATGCTGTGTCTCCAGAAAGAAAAAAATTCTTTCCCCTTCAGTATTCTCCAGACTCTAAACTACAACATAAGCTCTTAAATTCATTTAGATCACTTCCATGTTTTATTTCTGGTCACCCTCCCACACTCTGGCTCCACAGATGAAGAAGAAATAATAATAAAGGAATAATATTTTGTTTTTGCCTCAGTGAACCATTTTAGTTTCAAAACACCTTGATAGGTTAATTAGCTTACTTTTTCATTTCCTACCCCAATGCATTTGTGTTCCTCTTGGCATTAACCTCCTTGGAAAGAGGATACTACGACCGTGGCCCTGAACTTTCCTCATGAAGTCTATAATTCTGTGGTAGCATAAATCTTGAAAAAGTCTGGTTTCTTTTTAATTGATGGAGTACACAAAGAAACAGCACCATCTTGCCCTGACATTTTATGCCAGCTTTCATTTATTCTGGGTCACGCCTCTTTGCAAAACAATGGTTCCTGCTTAGTATGAGTTTCGGTACCAATGTAAAGAGACGTGGTATG